ACTGTCCACATGGACTTTACATCACAGGAGCGTGTGGTGTTCCTGCCGTGTTGCTGTCATGTGGAGTCGGTGAGGCTTCAGCAGCATCACGGTCTGTCACATGACAGCTTTAAGTGGAACTCAACTGTCTCCCTGAACTGCAGCAGCAGAACAGAACCACCGGTCGGTCCGTGGATGTGAGCAGGGAGCATGTATGTGGGCTGAAGTCAGGTCTGAGTCTCATCTGTTGGTGGTTAGGACGCCGCTCTGCTGCTGCTGCAGTGCCGCCATGCCATGAGCTCATCGCTCACGGGCCGCTGCTAGATCCAGTTTGTCAGAGGGAACCGGGTCCAGCCCCCTGCCCGGGTTTACAGGCTTTACAGGGCTTCCAGGGAGGAGGTCAGTCACAGGTTCGGCTGTGTGAAAGGTCAGAATGAAGAAAGCAGCAGGGACACGAGGAGTGAGTGCACTGGGACAAGGAGAGAAGAAACTGGTTCTGTCGGTTCCCTGCTCCACCTCAGCCCAGGATGGAATCACAACGTGCTGTTTTTAAACTGACCTGTGAGAGGAAGTGATTGCATGCAGCTGTAATGCATCATGCAGCAGCAGATTAACGGGCAGAGGGCTCCATGGTGTCTCCATCCTGCACCAGCTCAGAGCCCCTCAGAGACCCTCAGAGACCCTCAGAGCTCCTCAGAGACCCTCAGAGACTCTCAGAGCTCCTCAGAGACCCTCAGTGCTCCTCAGAGACCCTCAGACGAGTGATGAGTGGCTTCTCTGCTTAGAATTAGCAGCTTTTTTCCCAGTTTTTAAGCCTTTTGTAATCATGTTTAGGAAGGAGTGCAGCGTTAAACAGAAGCCGCTGAACACACCTCGTGTTCTGGGCATTCATCAGCCTCCACCAGGTTCTGCCTCTCTTCCTGCTCCTGATGACATCTGTAGAGGCTTAGATGACAGAAACATACACCCCCGAGCTTCTGTTAAGGCTCTCCTGTGATCAACGTTGTGTTTTACTGACCAATGGATGACTGATTTATTTCAGCGTGGGTCCAGTTCTGTTGTTGTGACGGTACAATAGTCACAGCGGTGGAGGTTCAGGTCACTGTCTTGGTACCTTTGGACTCACTGTGGGCTCTTCTTTCACTGTGTTATAAAGTCTGTTGAACCAGAACAGCCATGAAGGAGAGGGAACATGTCCTCTGGTACATTACCACACAAGGAAAAGTAAATCATAGAAAGATTAAAGAAAATTGAAATGTCTTTGATTATTGATTTTACAGAACTCGACTAAAGTAAGACTCAGCCTGTAGAACGGGTGGTACCAGCGCCAGCACAACAGGTGGTGGCTCTACATGCAGTAAATACTTCACTATCATTGGTTTCTGGGTTGGGACACAGCCTGCAGTTCAGCCCAGTTCAGCTGAATAGTCCCAGAACCGGCGGTTCATCACAGCTGAGTGACGTCACGACTTCAGAATGTGCGTTTTTTACAGCATTCGCTGACTGCACATGCTTTATTGTTAGCTAGATGTTTAACAGCATAAATAACCTCAGCATGTTTCTGGACTGTGGGAGGAAGCCGGAGAACCCGGAGAGAACCCACGCTGCACGGGGAGAACATGGAGACTCCACGCAGGAAGATCCCGGGTGTCCTCACCGGGACGCCAACCGGCGACCTTCTAGCTGTGAGGCGCTAACGGTGCTAACCACTGAGACACCTTTAGCTTAGGATGAAACCTGGAGAAAGCCAAACAGGTTGATTCCAGAGGTCTCCAGCAGAGTCTCTGTAGCAAACTAGTTCAGTCATCAGATCAGATCATTAAGCTGTGAGTCTGAATACGGACAGTTTTGTCCAACTAATATGTCAGAACTTCAAATGAATCAGTTCCAGGAAGTCCTTATTTCCTGTCTGAACCTGAGAATAGAGTGTTATCACTAGAAACACCTGCAGAAGTAGAAGATGTTCTGCCACATGGTGCTGTCTTTGTGGAGCAAACAAAGGAGCCCAACACATCCTCCTGAGCATGCATTCTCCTCATTAACATATATCGTTATCCAAGTGGCAGCACCAGAACCTGTGCCCTCTCCTGTGTGGATTGTGTGGATGAACAGGGAGGGCATGAGGTCAGAGAACACCTCCACACTTCCACAATAACACACATTCAGCGACACAAACCAGACAGACGACAGTGGCAGATGTTGAACAGACACCTCTCCACCAGGGCTGCTGGCGAGCTCAGGGCTGACCCTCATCAGCTGTTCCACGGTAATCTGGCATCTTGTTGAACATGCAGTGGGATCGACACGTCTTAGTCATTACTTCAGTTTTCCTTTTTTTGTTCTCCTGTCAGTCGTTAAACCGCTCGCCTTTTCTCACGCTGTTGTTAGCTGGACGCTGGACGGGGACTGTTTGTGGTGGCAGCCTGTCCTTCCTGACGGTGACGACGCGCAGACCGTGGTCACGCTGCTCCAACCCAAACACTCGGCTGCAGCCTAAGTGCAGCGGTGTGGTCGTCCCAATAGGTCACGGGCCACAGTCCAGCTGTGCTTCCTCTGCAGGACTAATTGCTGAGAGTGCGTGTGTGTGTTTTCTTTGGATAGGAGTGTGTGTGAGATGTGTGAGCTGCTGAGGAGGCGGTAAACAGAGCACTGCCTACTACCTGTGACATTCACTGAACAAATTAGTCCGGCGTGTTTCCACCTCAGCTCCTCGCTGGCAGCGTGACACAGCACTTCAGAACAATTCATCCCAGGTTATCTCACACTACGACGTAGTTATGAACAATAGTTTCACCACTGGAGGCTTTAGAAGTTCTGCAACAAGCCGACACTATCATCAGAAGTAGTTGTAACGTCTCACAGTCCAGCTGAGCTCCAGGAAACTCCGACGTCAGCTCAGAAACCTTTGTTCATTTGTGCTGAACACACAGATACAGCTGCACCTATGTTGTTATGGTCATAAAGCATTCTCTCTGTCATTATTCTGGCCTTTAGTGAAGATAAATAATGTTGGTGATCCTGACTGACCCAAAACAGGAAGACTTTAGTCTGATTTAATGTCAGATGGTGAGAAAGAAAAGGCTCATGTGTCTTTTATAGAGTGGATGTAAACTTCTGGTTTCAGCTGCAGGTGTTATCGATGGCACTCAGTGAAATACAATAAGTACATAAAGAGGGAGCTGTGCCGGCTCAACACAACAACACACGACTGTTCAATAATGGAAAATAAGCAGCTCAAAAACAGTCAGTTTCCAGAATTAAATCATTTTTCTCGCTGTACATGAGATCATGTGTGTTTTCTGGATTCTTAATGTTTAATGAAGGACATTGACATGAACAAGAACGACCACGTTGCCTACAATATAATTTATATGTATATATTTAGATAACAGATCAAATAATATTGCAGCAGCTGCAGCGCCCAAAAAATACTGGAAAATAGATTCTTCCACAATTAAAGCTCATGTTCTAGGCTTTCCCTGACATTAGATCACATGGGGTGTTTGTAAATGAAGGATGCACTAGTAAACTAAAAGCACTGGGAAATTACTGGTAAAATAGAATCTTTTTGTAATTTTATTGACATTTTTTGTGTATTTCAAAAATATGGAACACATCTAAAAAGTAAAATAAAAAGAATAGTGACCAAGAGAAAGATGTTTTGTTGTCATGAATTTCAGTGTAGAGCTTAAATATGAGCCTCATGGTGGCGCTAGACAGGAAGGCTTACAGTTTAGAGGCTGCCATGGCAGCTCATGATGAACCTGCAGCGTAAACGCTCTGATGCTGCTCCACAGCTTCGCCGGCTCTCAAACCCAGATCCTGCCGTACAACCGTTCTCCAGGATTCTGGTTTCTCACAGTGTTCCCATAAAGCCGGCCTGTAAACGTGCAGCTTGTTTGTGTATTTAAGCTCCAACGTAAATTATCTGTGGAGAAAGCGTCTCCTCCCGCTTGTGGCCGCTGGATTATCTCCAGAAACAACTCCTGGTTTGCTCCAGGTTTGTTCAATAAAAGGTGATCATAAAAGTGGAGGAGCAGCTGCAGGTCATGGGAACAGCAGTAACGCAGCTCTGAGGTGGATTTCCCCGTAATCCTGAAGAAGAACGCTGAGTTCATGCAAACATTAAGGGGAATTATGAAGACACTGGCTGCACTGAGGGGCTGGGCTTGGACAGGGATTTGAACCGCTGTGCTTTTGAGCAAGGCACTGAGCTGTACAGAAGGCCTGTGCTCATCCTGCAGCACCAGGCCATGGGAACAGAGTAAAGTACGATCAGCTGGCTTCCACACTGTCTGCTGAAATGATTAAAGAGGGCCTCTAACTCCAGAGAACATGCTGACATGGACTCGTAAAGACACTCGTACCACAGGGACTTGCTTCAATAAGAAAAATGCATCAGCTGTAACTGTGGCTTCAGCCTGATGCTGCTCTGAGGGACTGAACTCATGCTGGGAGCTTATGGAGGTCATCACATACGGTTGTTCTGCCTGTTGGAGCTTCACAGAATCAGCAGCACGGATGGCCAGGGGAGTTTAGTCAGCTTTTACTATCACACTTCACATAAGCTTCACGAGTCTGTAAGGTCTGGACCGTACAACGTTACTACATCACTCCTGTAGCGGTGCAGTTACGCCAACGTTATCCATCAGAGTTTATCTAAAGTCTTGGAGAACATGTGGATGAAGCTGGTGAAGCCTTTTGTTGCTTTTAAATCTGACAATGCCCTGAAGTGATGGTCTGAACACGACAGTCTGGCTCTGTGTTTTAAGGAGACTCTTCCATCTGATCTGCTTTCTGGCCTTGAAACCAGACGTCAGAACTATGAGTGCCCACGTTACTTTCTATGTTTGTGTGGACATGATCTTTCTCAGGTTGTGAACTGCTGCAGACCAACCGCTCTGTTTTGGCTCCTGTCTGGTGCTAATGTTGGCCTGAGCCGTCACCCCACATCTATGAGTCCGATGAAGTGGACTTCAGAGAGCAACTCATCTGCTCGCTCTGTGTTTGGGTCGACCCACCTCTCTCGCTCCTGCTCCAGCAGGTTGGTGAACTCGTCGCTCTTCTTCATGAACTCTCCGTGGTTCCTCTTCTCGTCCTCCAGTTTGTACAAGGCCTGTTTGTGTGACTGTTCAACCATCAGCAGCTGCTCCAGCATCCGCCGGTGTGTCTCCCTCTGCTTCTCCACCAGCTTGTCCAGCTGTGACGGGAGGAGAAAACATCTGTCATGTCACCTCTGAGCTGTTCTGAGTAACCGAGGCGATCACTGATCAGCTGACTGAGATCTGCTGTTACCTCCACCATGGGCTTCTCATAGATGTCTTCCTGGAAGACGTCGGTCTTGTCCTGGATAGCGTCCCTCTGCAGGGCCTGCAGGACCTTCTGTGGCGTAACAAAACCATATTTGGCCTCGAGCAGGGCCAAGTCGATTTTCTCTGCCTTCAGCACTGTGATCACCTCGTCTCTGGCCTGCAGTGGAACAAGAAGGTGGAACCACTTAGAGCATTAACACACAGAAGACTTCCATCATGCAGCAGGAAGGAAGACACAGTCCAGACTCTAAGTCTACAGTTCAGGGCCAGCTGGGCTTGGCCATGGTGAGTCTGTGATTAAGTCCTATACATGTGTATAGCTTAACACTTTTATTAGACCACGTGTCATAACAATGAGAAAACATAGATGTTCTAGAAATCTTTCAAAGCTGTTCCTCAGACTTGGTGAAACTTTGCGAGATCAGTCTTTGAATGTACCACATCCCAAATTTGTTCAACAGGATTCAAATCCAGACTCTGACTGGGCCGGTCCATCAGTTCCAGAACTCCAGATTCCTTCTTCTGGGTCAGATGGTCTCTGCACAGCTCTGAAGTCTGCTGGGCTCATTGTCTGGTTGGTGTGTGAACCTACGACCAGTCAGGTTCGGTCCAGAAGGGATCCATGATGCACTAAGGTGTTGTGGTAGACGTTCTGGTCCATGATGCACTAAGGTGTTGTGGTAGACGTTCTGGTCCATGATGCACTAAGGTGTTGTGGTAGACGTTCTGGGTCATGATGCCGTTGATTTTGACTAACTTGCTGTTTCCACTAATGGAGCCCATACCATGATGGAACCTTCCAGCGTGTTCCCCTGTGGGTACATCTGGCATCAAAACGTTCTCCAGCTTTTCTGTGGACATGAACACGACGATGCTGACCAAAGAGTTCCGACTCGGACTCGTCTGTCCAGAGGACCTTCTTCAGTCATCTACAGTCCAGTGTTTGTGCTCGCTGGCAAACCTGAGGTGTTTCTGGATGTTTGCAGGCCTCAGTAAAGCTTCTCAGCAGCTCTTCTTCCCTCTAAGCCTTGTTCCATCAGTCGTCTCATATGGTCACTCTGGAGACCTTCTCAGACTCTGGTCTAGAAGCATCTCTGGCTGAAGATCAGCAGTGGTCTTCCTTCTGTCTCTGGTCCTGAAGAGCTGGAGGTGAGGTGTCAACGTAACCATTGACATTTTTATTTTATTTAAATATGTAGCAGAAATAAGGCATTTGCAATATTTAGATTTTATTAAAAAATAAATAAATCTTCCCTCCTTGCAGCTGAGAAGACGTGATTGGCTGAGCTGTGACCAACAGTAATGTGACATAAAAACATGAGTGGACTGGGCTGGACCCAGTCTGTGAATGCACTGAGCACAGAAACAAACAAAACATGTTAAACTAACTAAATAAATAAGAAAAAAAACAAAAACGTTTTTTCCAGTCTGATGACACTTAAAGAATATAAATAAATAAAAACACCAAAAACCTGTTTGGTATTCAGAGGGTTAACATTTCCAGATTTATTGTCGTTTTGTGTTGACCATCTATGGCTGGAATAGATTCTTCTACCTGCGTTCTGCTTTTGTCTGCTTTGCTTCCCTGCATCGGCTCATCGAGCCTCGTCACCATGGCAGACTCTGCCTTGTTTCTATCAGCCAGCAGCACTGCCAGGGGATTCCTGGATCCAGCGCTGGAATGACAGGAAGTGGTTTCAGCTCTCAGCTGTCCATTACCTCATCATGTGCCCCCGTAGCCAGCGTGTCTGGCTATATGTCCGACCGGGTCAACGCCACGTCTGCAGGCCGCTCTGCTGCTGAACGGCTGAACTTCAATTCAGTTTTATTTACACGGCGTCACTTCATAACATGTCATCTCAGAACACTTCACATAGTGAGGAGTCCTGTAAGACTCCCAGGGCTGCATCCAAGTCTTACCTGCAGCTCTCCTTCCAGCAGGCTCAGCAGAAAGACGAGGTCGTCTCTGGACAGGTCCCTGCCCTTCTCCCGCCGGCCGCCCTTTGCAGCACTGGTCCCAGCGGCGCTGCTGTTGTTCTTGGTGGTTTTGTGGTTCCGCTGAACGGTGCCGGTGTCATCTGGTGGCTCCCGGTGTCGACTGCGCCGCTCCGCCCGTCCTGAGGGCTCCTCCCGCTCTGCAGATCGCTTGCGAGCGTCTGCAGGCTGCTTGGCCTTGGTTACGTCCTCCAGACTGTTGCTGCGGGACCGCATGGTTCTGACCTGTTGGATACAGGGAAGATCTACGGATCAGTGTTGTTGCCTTGTCCTGTGTGCAGATGTACACACAGTCCTGCACCATGTGTTGCTTTTCTCTGTGTTTGCATTATTCATCTTTGCCTTAAGCCGAGACAGACACAAAAGAAAGAGCAGGTTTACAAATCTAGCCACGGCTGTGAAGAGGTTAATGAAGCCACCTTGAGCTTTGAATTGATGCCCGTCACCTATCAGGGCCTCAACCCTGCTGCAGGAGCTGTGGCTGATGAACAGTTGTGATCTAAGCTTTATAATGTATGCCTTTGTAGGAATGGCTGCTTCTGCCTTTACTCATTGATGTGCTGCGCATCCTAAAGTGCAAAGATAGCAGGAAACAAAAATGGAAGACGCTCGTCCAGGTGCAGATCTCGCGATGCTTTTTGTTTCTTACATGTTGGAAGTAGATCAGTAGATGCGAGCTGTTCTGGTGAGTGTAAACTGAACCAGCATCCTGTCCAGTCCTACTGCCTGCCATCTTCCTATGAGCAGAACAGAGCGATCAGCACCGCTGGACACAAAGCACAGTTACACCACACCATCAGACGGCGCCAGAACCTTTCTGGATGCAGGCCTTCTGTCCTGTTGCAGCAAATTAGCCCAAGTCTCCAAGCATCATTCACACTGCTGAGTTTTCCCACAAAGTGAAGTTTGTGTCAAGAACAGGACGACCGAGCTCGACCTGCCAGAGGGCTCTGGACACTGGAGTGCTGCTGCTGGTTGTTGGTGGTTCCATGTGTTTGGACCCAGAGAGCAGTCAGGAGAAGGCTTAACAGGACTTTGAGCATCGTGGCTCTCCACCAAGCTCTGTTTGCAGAGTACAGCGTGTCATGAGCTTTATGAATGAGCCATTCAGGGCCTGGCTGACTGTGACAAATCCAGCTATGATAAATAGTGTAAGCTACAAGCTCACAGGCCAAGGAGCTGCAGCCTCTGAGCCAAGTCATTCATTACTGTTTCAGCCTTGTGCTCAGCTAAAGTAAACATATCCAGAAGACAAACCTGAAGCGAAACATGCTGAGACTCATGTCTGAGTGTTTGATGTGTGAGAGAATAATCTGGCCAAACACATCACGTCATCGTCTTCATCGTCTGTTCAGCTCAGCTAACAGCTAGCTGGTCCGGCTCAACAGTTAAGAGGCTGAATGTCAGCTGCATTCCTGCTGACATACATGCCCTCTGCTAAGCTCCATCCAAACTACAACCAGCCGACTCATCTGGAAGGTTCAGGTATTTGTGTTGCTGCTTGTACTCCTCACACTTTCAGAGAAAAATATTCAACAGTTTGCTTTAATAGCCTCGTATTTAAATCTCATGTAGCATATGTGGGTGCTTCTACCTGTAGATGCTCCAGCTGAACCTCAAGCTACTGAAATCATTGTTTCCTCCTTGGAACCCCCAAAACGAACAGAAACACGACGATGCTGACCCCAGATCCACCAGGGGACCAGCCTACAGGCCCACATCACACCACTTACATGAACTGGTGAGAACAGAATGGATTAAACTGAATCGGATTTTCAACTTTAGAATGCACACCAACACCACCTCTACCACCACCAACACCACCTCAACCACCACGAGCACCACCTCTACCACCACCAACACCTCTACCTCCAC